TCACATTTTGAAAAGAAAGGCAAAGGTTGAGCCGGTGGTGTTGCACTGTGGACGGTCGTGAAATTTTAGCTTTCTAGCATGTCTGATTATCATGTAGAAAGAAGCAGCAATTTGGAACTGAAGTTTGCCGTAACCGTGCATGTAGTGCTCGAAAGTCAGTAGTTCGTTTTTAGTGCTTCCGAAAATATGTCAATATTCTTGTGAATTACCACGAAAAAAGTGTGCGGATGATTTTGAAGTGAGATCTTGTCTCGCCCAATATGCTAGACGCTTACACAGGCGAAAGTTATTTTTATTTTTTTTGGAGCCGCGCAAGCAACTTTTTTTATGCGTTTTTGCTAAAGCGCGTACTGTCGACAGGCATTAGAAAGCTGCAGTTCATAAATGATATCCTTATAGGATTGCAGCTTTCTAGCTTGACTAATGCCTGTCGGCGGTATGCGCTTTTGAAAAAAAAAGGATTCAAATTAGCGTTAGCGTAATGTAGTGTAACCATTAAAAAGATTTCCAACAGAGCAAAAACAAATTTTTCTAATCCCTTGGAGCAATAGGAAAAGTTCTTAATTTTTAATTAATATTTAAAAGCAAATTTAACATCTACAAAAAGCGTAATAAATCCAAATATGCCGCAAAATTATTAAAAGAAATTTAATACATTTTTTTCTAAAGGCCGGAAAGTATTTTTGACGCCTTTTGAGAGCTTCCTTTAACGCACTTTCAATTATCTGGCAAAAAAATCAGGAATATATCTACAGTGAAGTGCATTCGGATGACACAGTCACGTTTCCCATCTGGTCATCTCAGAAAATCAAACATTAAAGGTTTCTTCCATCATAAATTGGAAAAAACTGCAACAAATAAATGCGGCAACAAAAACTAACAATTGTTTTTCTTGAAAACGGCATGAAATTGATTACAAATGTGATAGAGGAAGATACGAACAGAGTTGAAGCATAGACAGTCATTAGGACGAGCATCGAATTGATAACATGCATTCGTTGTGATGTACCGGAGTTTGCTGCAAATAATTCCCAGTTCATCAACTTAACTAGTGTTTTCTGTTAAAGTTGCAGGCATATCACAATTCTTTTATTTTTTCGCTTAAATGGCCACAAAATTAACTGACGACGGTAGGAGAAATACCCAAAAATTCCCCGGACTGCTGGTTGTTGTTGTGGTATCCTGTGTTATTTATGTTACTGGTATACAGAGCGCTACTGCGCCAAGCTGCCCATTCTAGACTGCATACCTCAGTTTGGTATCCCAGCGTCTGTTCGACGTGTGTGCGTCATCTCTTCGAGGGTCGCTCAAGTGGTCGCTTGCTTTCCCGTGGGTTATGCGCGTTGTTCAGAGATTGCCGACAAAGAGAAAGCGAGTTGCCCTTTCATCAGATTTTACTTTCTTGCGCAGCTGCAATGACAACCTGCACGTCAACCGTCTAATAGGCAGTCTTATCATTTACGCGATCGTGGAGAGACGCGCCAAGCATCCTTCACTCCATTGCTCTCTCCACAGCTGCCAGTGCTCGTTCTTTAGCTTTCCTACATGGCCATTTTTCGAATCTGAGCGCCCATTGCCTTTCACCTAGCGATATTGAAAAAGGAAACGGTCCTTCTGGTCCAGTACTTTTAGAGCACCGAATGATTCTATGCAATTTGCGCTAACTGACTTCCCTTCGACCTCAGTCTCCTGTCGGAGGTTGTGGCGCATATTTAATTCCCACTCAAGACAGACGTAACTGCCAATTTCTTTTAAGCCCACATGGTCTGTTTTAAACTTCGCCAAGGGTATAGCGCAGAAACAACAGAAACAAAACCGAGAGCTGCAAAATCTGATTGCTGAACTGCGCTTGGATTTTATCTCGATGGTAAATTGCATGAACGCTTTTAAAGAAAAAAAATTTGGATTCTACTTCAATGTACAGTAAATAAAAATTTCCTACGAAAAGTGTTAAAATGGAGTGGGAGCACTTAGATAGTAGTCCAATTAGTAGCAAACTCCAAAAGTAATCATCTGCTGACAAAATTTCAATGGTTCCCTCTTTTGAACATTGCTTTAAAGAACGCTGATGGCGGGTTCGGCTCCCTAGCACCTATCAGTTGGCACTGAAATGAATGAACAAGTTATAAATTAAATACAAAAAATAAAGAGGACTGATTAGTTGTAGAACATACACATTTTATTTTTTTTCTTGCTGCACTGAATATGCAAATAAGTGATCGTATTTAGGACAATGACGAGCAGCGTAATGCTAATATACACATAATTTCTGATGGTTTTGAGATTCAGTACGTAGGACATTGGAGGAATACAAGGCTCGACAAGCTGAAAAATATGTGATATCAAACGTAAATTTTTGGAGCCCTGCGATAGTGCTTTTGTTATTGACAGTGCTATTAGATTCATTCCAAGGCATGTGTGCTTTTATCGAAAGCTAGTCTAGCGACATTAATTTGATCATAGTTTTGGCTTAATCGTAATAACAAGTCAGGAACAAAATTGTATGAGGATAGAGACGTATCCCTCGCCAACAATAAAAATCAGCTATATTCTTAACAATCTTTATGAAGCTTTGACCAGATGCATTGAAAACTTGGAAAATTAATTTGCTGTCGCAAAATATAAATTATCTAGCTAGTTATAAATTATTGAGAAAGCTCCAGGTGACAGAGATTTAGCAGCAAAAAGAAAAAGCTTCCACCTCAGTCTCTGCCTTAGTTTGAAAAATCGTTCCCTCTTATGTCTGTCAGCGACTGCCTGCCTTCTTCCATATCAGCCTGCCAGCTTTCAATTTTATATCCACAAACACTTTGACGACGCATATATTATAAACCAGTAATTACTATTTCGACCGTACCAAACTGGTAGTCAATTACCTTATCATCAAGCATAGCGAAGTTGATAATGACAATAGGTGTCGAGTACGCAAGGCCAGCAACAACTGCTAGAAGAATGAACCACTTGGTACCAATCGCACGATATCTAAAAATCTTACTGTCAGTGGCAGAAGGCTGGTACAATTCAAAAGTTTCTGAAATCACCAAAATTTTCCGATTCTGCTCTAAAGCTATCCAACGCAATACTTTAGTTCAAGTAGCTCTTAGCTTATTTTAGAAACTGCGTTAAAGGAAGAAAAAAATTGAAAAAACGTTCTCTGTCCCGTGGAGCAGCGTTAGAAACTATACAGCAGTTATGTATGCGAATGGCGTACATACAAATTATGGATATGTACTTTAAAGTGGTGCAGCAGTCCTAGCACACCGCTTTCGGGCGCGGAGATGAATGGTTCGGTACTCTTCTAGTCCAACGGAAAAAGTTTTGCCTTTCAGAGCAAGCAGACCCATACCAGTGGATACAAAAGCCGGATTTTTGGTATAAAATTGAGAAACGTGCTCTACCAGGTGTTTTATGAGCACCAGGCCAACTGCCCGGTAAAAACTAATATAGCTACTCAGTCTTTCGAATGTATAGTTGACGATGAAATGCACGCGCTTGAATTCTTTTCCTTTCCTTCACTAACTCATTCTCCCATTATCCTCGGTCGTGGATACCTACGAAAAGCCCTCAAAAAAAAAAAAAAAAAAGAATTTGCTGTGCAAACATTTGCTGTTTTATAGTTTGATGCGTTTCTATGGCCGAAGCGCCACCAGTGCTTGCGAAAAGTCAGCAAGAGTTGAAAAGTGTGCATTATTCCTCCCGATAAAACAAAATCTTCTGGCATACTTTATTAAAAAAATCTTGGCTATGCTTCTTTTTACGTACCGTACTGGTGACCAAACCGCAATGAATCGATCGATGGCCAGAAAAAGTACCGCGACGCAAGCCATGTTGAATGAAATTGAATACAGGAAAATGGAGCGGAAACACACAATGCGTGGCATCAACGATTTGCCGAAAAATATTTCAATAACACTCTTTGATTCATGCAGTTCACTTATCTACAACATAATGCGTAATTTGGCCACAATGCAAAGTAGCCTGATTTTTGCCATCTACAGTGACAGAAATCGCCTGTACAGTTCAGATTATTTACTAACAAAAAAACGTGAGAAAAACTTATATCAAATATTGATGGTTTCATTATTTTACAATGTGCCAGCGCATCGCGAAATAGCTCTGTTATCTTGCGGCTGTAGAACGGTCCAACTTCTACTGTTCCTTCGCTTAGATGGTAAATTGCTACTGGCATATAACCGGGGCGTCAAAACCCGCCACTAGCTTATATTTGAAAGAGGATCTTTTTTAAGAACCGCTTAAGCCACATGCAGATGCCAGTGCTGTGCTTTCCACCTTTTCAGTACTTTTCAGACTTTTCTTTGAATCGTTCAAACAAATAATTTGACACTTGAGAAAGAATTTTATCGCTACTTTTTTATTTGAAAACAGAAGAACTTACAAAATCGAAGAAAGCAATTAATGCAATCAGAATTCCGTTGCGATTTTGCAACTGGCTAAATCTGAATGTCGCGAAAAGCATGTGTACGTTGCCGAACATGCCAAGTAGGAGAAAAGGCATCATAAAAATTGCCGTTAATTCGAGGGTTCTCATCCTTCCAAAATTGGAAATAATAACTCAAGACGGCAGTACGCTCGGATTTAGATAATCGGTTATTTTATTACCTGAAGAAGTCATGCTTGTTGAATAGAAACACTAAGCTTTACTACAGCCTATACGTAGCGCTTTTCAATAAATCGAATTGCTGCGAAACTATTGCCGCAAATGCGCGATGTGTTTTAATCACGGTTGTTATGAATGTAGCTTTCTTTTACAAATGAATATGAGCCAAGGGGAATCGAAACACCAATCTTCCGAGCGCCATGCGCTATCTACTGCATCACCGAAACCTGTCCCTCAATTTGAAGCGCACCCACTGTTTATCTGTAAGCATACACCTTTCTTCCTTCTACTTCCAGCAGGCATTATCTCTTTTTCGTCGGCGTCCCATATGCTGTATATACTGTCTTTTGTGGCAGCTATTTTTTATGGCTTTTTATGCGTTTTTGCCGTGCAGCGCTAGAGCGCTGCAACAGGCAGCAAAAACGCAT